TGGTGGTGGTGGTGGTGGTGGGTGGAAAAAAGTGTGCTGCGAGTTTGGTTTCTGCCTTGGAGAAGTGTGCCAGGTCAGTTCTGTTTTGCAGTCGGGCTTCATGAAGGCTTTTGCAGGTCAAGGTTGCCCAGGTTGCAGGTTCTGCGGTTCCCAAACCATGTGCAGTGTTCGCGTTCTCTTTGCAAAGCATTATTAGCCGTTGTTGGGTTGGGGTTGGTAAAAAAAAGGTGTGTGTGTGTGTGTGCGCGCGCGCGCACACATTTGTTTCAAGGGAGAGGTGGAGGCAGCGAGAATGCGCGCTGGCAACCGTAACATGTGTGTCATTGGGTGTTAAAACTTGCGTAAGTATCTCTTTTCCGTTTTACATGCTACGCACCTACGCACCATGCCCAAACCTGACCTTCCCCTGCCCACACTCCAGGGCTGTGTGTTCCCAATTAGTTCAGGGTCTCCCAGCAAGGCCTCGCAGAGGTCCAGGGCAGTGCCCCGCCAGCCCCGCGTTGCCTGCTTTGGAGGGACCCCTAAGCAGTCTGGGATGGCCATTTAATACATTCCCCCTGAAGCCCTGACAGTGCAAGTCGGCGGAATTTTGTGTTTCGAACGTATGGTCAATACTGCGTGCGCATGCCTGCGGGCTTGTGAAGATTCTTCAGGCAGTGTAGGAGCTACTGTGCGAAGGGCTGGAGGGATCCCGTAGGTGTACATTATCATTGATTGGACAGCTGCGTCCTCTTCAGCAGGACTTTGCAAGCAACTAAGTCCTGGCCGGACTTGCCAGAACCGTTTGTGTGGTGCTGGGCGAGTGCACAGCTGGCGACCCCTTGTAACAGTAAGTGCAGCTGCCTCAGGTGACTTCTCCGGGTTCAGGGTTCAGGGTTTAGGGTTGTGTCTGGGGTTTAAGAGTTTAACAAGGGTTTAGGGTTCAGGGCTTAGGGCTGTGTCTTGGAGGCAAGTCGTTCCACTAAACCTTAAACCCGTCCTAGACCCCAAATACCCGGTCAAAACTGACGCAGCAATGTCGTGCAATTTGCCACTCACGTGCTCTATATAGGCCCCTGAAGAAACTTGGCAATCCATACTTGTATCGTGCTATCTTAGACTACAAGAGTCTGCCCGACTTCTTGCGGGCTCTGATCAGACTGTCCTAGGAAGGGCGGATGACTGGTCATTCATGCGAAACAAATAATTTGCGACAAACCCATGATTTGTGGGTTTACAATTTACTGACTTAGGTTTAGGGTTCAGGGCTCAGGAGAAGACTGTGTAAGGGTCTAGTCCACAGTCCAAGGGCTAAGGAGGAGCAGCAACTGCGTAGTGCTGGGTGCTGACTTCTCAGTCAGTAGGGTCCAGGCATGTTCATACGCTACTTTGGCATCGCATCAGCACCATGCCAAGATGTGGCAGGGTGTGATTCAGCTGGCTTGGCTGAAGCGACCAGGCCTTGAAGAAAAAAACAGCTTGTGCTTGCAGCTACGTGACGTTGAGTGCATCCCTTCGCCTGCGCATGACTTGGGCGAAGATACATTCCAATTTTCGCAGCACTCACTGAGGTGTGTGAGCGGAGCCTTGTTGTCGAGTTTGATGGCCAGGAGGCGACAGAGCATGAGCAAGAGACCGATGACTTGCTGCTTTTGCAGACGGCGGCAGACACGCAGCTGCATAATATGAGGGTTGCTGGAGTCTTGAGTGGGGCTGTTTGTGCTCATTGTTTTTTTAGCAGGCAGAGTGCCTGCCAGCTTGCGCCACGCAAGGCCATGGAGCTCAATAATGAGATACCAGCAGGCTCAGTGGACAAATTGAGGAAGCTTGCCCGTGGCAAGCGCATGTACGTCTACAAGAATGTGCAAATGCTTGCCAACGCGACCCAGTATGCCTTCAGTCTAGATCAGTTTCTACCTGCGCCTGCTGCGCCGGATGCTCCTGTTGCAATAGATGCGCTGGAGCGCAAGCCCACGCTCATCTTTTGCGCAGATGAGGAAGCCGCCCAGCCCTGCAGCTGCAAGTTTGTTGGCCCTTGTTGTCTTTAGCCTCCATGATTCTGAGGCTGAAGTGGGAGAATCACCTCATGTACGGCTTACGAATGCGAATCTGGAAGAAGGCTGACTTCCATCACAGATCCAAGAATGATGCATCCAACTCCATCAAGCGCAAAGGCTTGTGGGGCGAGGCTGGCCTGTGTTGACACTTGGTCCGCTTGTCTTGCTTGCAGTGTGCTGTGCTGCCCTCCTGCTGCTGCTGCTGCTGCTGCTGCTGCTGCCCCTTCAGTCTTTCCAGAAAGCCCTTCTCGTCCTACGCTTTTCACCACGAGCTGTCTGATCTGGCCCTGCACTACCTACGGCTGAATGGGCCAGACAGCGCAGAGTGGCTGGGCTGCCTGCAGCTAGCAGACATGTCGTGCAATGTTTGTGTTATGCTATGTCGTGTATGCTTTACTGAACAGGTTTGGCCAGCACTTGGACGAGCTGCGTTTTGACCTTGAGCTGCCCCCTGACACGACAGCAAGTGAGGTTCACAACCTTTTGCTGCAGCAGGTGGAGCAGCTGACGCATGCTCAGGAGGCCACACTCGCCCAATGTAAGGAAGTGTGGAACACATAACTGACCCCTTCCCCTCTCTCTGTCCAGGTCAGCTTGAGCAAGTTCCACTGCTGGAGTGTCAAGTTCGGGGCAAACCGCCGCCTCTGGACATTCATGGGCATGGTCCTGCGTTTTCGCCGCCACCTGGAAGGGCAGCTGGATGAGCAGGCGCAGGAGGAGTGATCGCATGAACTAAAGGCCCCCACGTAGCCTGAAAGTGTAGTGATTTGACAATAGACCCAGCCCTAGGCCTTCAAGACCCATCCCTGTTGCGCACGCAACCCATCTGTAGCAAAAAAGTTGCTGTTTGTACGCCCTGTCGATCACGGCCCCCCCCCTCCCCCCCCAAAAAAAACCACATGAAACGCAGAACAAAGCAAGCGACCCAGGAGAAGCGACAATGCTTCGAGTGATTGCCCCACTGGAATAAGCTGTTGTCAGTTGGCTAGCGCACAGTAACCTCAAGACAACCATACTCCTCCCGCGTGTCTGAAGGAGCCTGCCAATGCTGGGCCAAATCTCATGGCGCAGCAGGATGCCGTGGTCGAGAAACTGAAAGCCCTGCAGAAGGACCAGCGCACTCTGGTGCTCGCGGAGCAGATCTTCTCCAATGTGCAGGTTCGCCAATTCGCCTACCAGACTCTCACTTGCAACAGGATTCGTCATACGCACATGTGTGTGTGTGTGTGTTTGTCTAGCATTGGACAGAGGGGCCCTTGCTTCCATTCCAGGATCTACTTTGCGCAGCGCCCGTTGCGGGAGGAACACTTAGAGGTTCTCGAGCTCACCAAGTCCCGCGAAGACCACATACAGATGCAGGCCAAGTGGGCGAACAAGTCCTTCGCCGCTGTGATTTGGGACATATTCAGTGCCTTAAGCTCTGACTATGTTCTGGGACGTGTTCGGCTCTTGGACATGCCAGACTCCGAAGCAGAGGGCGTGCAGCAGCAAGAAACTGCTGAGCAGTTCGTGTCTCTGTGTGTTTCTGTTGCGAGCCAGCGCGCTTGGACAATGATGTGCCTAGCAGATCTACCTCCGTCCAGTTTTCTTGGCGTGCTGGATGACGACCTGGCAGCAGCCAGTGAATGCTTGGCCCGCGCAAAGCTAGACCGCAGATTGATCAAGGAAGCGTGGCAGAAAGCCAATGATTCCACCTTTGAGCAGCGGCAGGCCCGAACCCTTTTCCTCAACGTCCTTCTCATGCCCTGTTGATTGTTTTTTCAGCTGCCGTGAAAAGGCGCTCAAGGATGCATTTGCGGATCTGTGGTTTCCGAATCTGACAGTTGTGCAGGACCGGTTTTCTTATGCGACCTGATTGTTTATCAATTCTAGTTAGTGGGGATTTTTCAGTTTTGTGTTGAAAGCCGGCAGGACTTTTGGTCGCACATGGACAAGCACGACTGGCAGCTGAGCAGCTGCCACGGGCATTTGTACCGCGTGGCGGATACATTGTGCTCCACCAAGGAAGTTCTAGAGGATGTCATTGGCCGATTGTCAGACTTCAAGAGGGAGAACAAAAACCCCTTCAAGTCCCTGTCTTTGGAGCGCGGCCACTTTCTGTCTACAGCGCATCTGCAGTTTTCAGAGCAGTGGCCCGTTCTGCGCACGACTGGCGCAGATCTGATGGACAAGAAGTGCACCAGGGCCTTCAAAGGGCGTGCGAAATTTGCAGGGCCCAATGCCCCCTCAGGCGAGGTCCTTTCGGCCTTGAAGGCGGATGCTGCCAGCAAACCAGGCGCCGGTTGACAGAGTTTTTTCCAGTGTCCAGACATGTCCAGACTATCATTTGCTTGTAGCGTCTCATGTGTGAAGTCGTGCGACAACTGGACAGGCCTCACGTGGCGTCAGGCGGTTGCAGCAGGAGCGTCAGCAGGGGCGCCGCGGCAGCTTCTGCCTGTCAAGCCAGCTTCGCGCGCCAGTGACTTGAAGAGTCTGGGCACTTTGATCGCTCTGCGGACAACGTGGCCAGAGAGCTTCACCAATCTTGCCGGCTGCTGGGCTGGCCAGCTGCTGGTGGAGGGCCGACTTTACCAGGCAGTGACGGGGCAGTACGTTCTCAGTCTCGGCTTCGAGCACCTGGCAGGGTTGGCCTGGAGCGTGGAGGAAGTTTTGCCAGGCTATTTTCAGATAGCCTCGCAGGGCTTGCGAGAGCGCCAGGGGCAGAGTCGTGAGCGCCTTCAGCCTTTCTGTGTTCACAGCGTCACAGCGAAGGGCTCTGAGGAAGAAGAGCTCTATGCTGGAGTTCCAACAGTGGCTTGAGACCTGGCAGCAGTGACAGTGAGTGACACGGTGCGGGAGTTTAGTTGCCGCTGCTCCTGTCACAAGTAAGTCTCGAAATCTGAGGTGTCCCTGCCAAGCTGCCACCCGAAATCCGTGCTAAGGGCATTTTGCTCCAGAGAAGTGGTGAGAATATGGCCCTTGTCCCATTCTTCTTGCAGTACGGCGCCCTCAAGAACATTGGCCACACCTTTCTCACGCAGCTCTGCGCCGCGGTCAAGGTGTCTCCAAAACCGCACGGTGAACAAAAGCTCGGGGTTCGTTCCAGGCTGCGCCATGGCAATGTGAGGGGATTTAGCTACTCATATACTTTCCCACGTACCTCTTTTTCATTGGCCTTGCTGCTTTGGTTGTGATCCTTCCAGAAATCATTAATGTTTCGCCCAATGCTGTTGAGGCATGCGCTCATTGCAGAGTTCTTTCCCCACAAGGATGCAGATGAACGCGAGCGCATGCTGAAACGACTGCTGGACACCAGCAATTCAAAGTCCGTGTATAAGACCAAGTGCCTTCACGAGGTTCTGCAGGAGTTGCGAACTGCAGAAGATGCGAATGAGTTCAGTCAACTACGTGAGGAGATGGAAGATGAAGTTCGGCAACAGTTCATCGTCACTCGAACTGGCTTGTCTCGGCAGCAAGCCGAGCACTGGACACCGATTTGCCTCAAAAAATTGAGGCCCCCTGGAAGCGTGCTGTGCTGGCAGCCCGCGCAACACGCATTCCAGGGATATTACCCTAAGGCAAAGGACTCAGCTGCTGACGAGGAAGCAGCTGAGGAACCAAAGGCCAAGGCCAAGAAGAAGAAGAAGAGTATCAAGAAAGATCGTCGAGGGCAGTTCCACAGTGTCTCTCGATCCTATCTCCAGAAGCGCACAATGTTCAGTGCTCTGAAGGAAGTCGTGTCCTTCCTTTGGAAGAAGCACGCGAAGGCGGGGCGAGCCTCTTGCCAGCAAACTAAGGCTTTCACGTTTCAAGCTTCCACTGTGTCGACTTGTGATCCTGTGCTTGTGGTTAGCTGAGGATGACAGCAGGAAGCCCAATGCGGATGCTATCAGGTCAGCGCTTGATGAAGCGCAGCGACCAGATGCAGAGATTGGTGAGGAGCCCGTGGCAGGTGCTGACGTGCCGCCTGCAGACGCAGGCGGTGTTGATGCTGACGCTGCGGCTGCTGGGGATCCAGATGCAGTGGGCCCTGAAGAGTTGGTCTCCAGTGAGCAGCGCAGTAGCCAGGGAGATGTGAGCTCAAGTTCGGGTAGCCCTAGCCGGGCTAAGCCGAAGGGTGCCCCCAAAAAAGCAAGACTTGAGGGTCCTGAAACTGCGGACTCGAAGGCCAAAGAGAAGCAGGCCCCAGCCGTCGAGGCTGCAGCCGCACCACCAACGCCCCGGGGACGCGGACGGGGACGGGGACGGGGAGCCAAGACAAAGGCAACAGAGGCTGGGGACGAGCCTGCCTCAAGCAGCGCCCTGCCCAAGTCAGCTGTTGCCAAAGTGAAAGGACGCGCTCCTGATGCATCCAGACACTCTGACTGCATCATTCAGTCATCGCTTCACACATGTGGTTGCTTTTGTGAATTGAGTTTTTTAGCCCAGAGGCATTCTGTTTGTGTCCAAGGTGTCACCAAAAAGGACAAGAAAGGCTCCGGTGCAGAGATCAAGGAACCCCCAGCCAAGCGGGTGAAGAAGTGAGACAATTACCATGCATCCTCTTGCCAAGCCACAGAGTGGCCATGGCCGTTTCATGAAACAACAGCACTCAGACAGAGACCCGAAGCTGCTGCTAAACAAACAGGCCAGCGCATTCTCTGCAAGGCAGGACATGCTGTTTCCGCAGAACTTAGGAGATATGCTGTTTAGGTATGGCAGATTTTTCTTAGAGTTTTGGGGTTTAGGGTTTAGGGTTATGGTTGGTTACAAAACCTGCTCTTCGCTGAACCATACATTGAGGGCTCAATAGCAAAGCCATCTACCCCCAAACCCCAGACCTTAAGGAGGCTTTAGGGCTATTAGGCTTTAGGGTTCGGGGTCGCTCTACGCCCTACGCCGCAAGCCCGAAGTCCCCAACCCTGAACCCTAAGCCCTGCATCCCAAACCCTAAACCGTAATTCCCAACCCCCAAACCCTAAATCCCACCCTAGGCCCTGAAGCCTTTGCCTTGGGAGATGCCTCAGGCGGCGGGGACTCCAGTGCCGCCACGACGCCGCAACGCAGCTTCTGGGTTGAATTTGGAAGCTTTTGCTTGCCTACCCCCAAAAGTTTACAGTTGTAGGGCTTTAGGGCTCAGGGTTCAGGGCTTAAGGTTTTTAGGGTTTTGTTGTTTTAGGGTTTATGGCTTGAAAATTACGAAACTTCGCTAAACTAAGGCTAGGGGCTTCCAGCTTAATTTGGTGGGAGGGTAGGAGTTGGAGTTTGGGGCTTTAAAACCTGAAGCCCTAAACCCTAAGCCCCAAACCATAAATCCTGAGGCTTGAACCCTAAAGCCTAAGCCCTAAACCCTAAACCATCTGCCTTGGTGTAGACTTGCCTTGCTTTGCAGGGCTTGTGGAAGGTACCCACAAAGGGTGCCTTGTCTGGCCCACACGGGTAAAGCGGCTAAACATCATGGCAAGAAGATGGTAACACATTGCATGCTACTTGTCCAAAGCACGTAAGCCGCAGCATCACGAACTGCATGCCGTGTGTTCCAGCATCCGCAATACGGGTTTATAGGGTTAGGGTTTAGGGTTCGCCCCTAACCCTGACCAACAAATCCTTGACCCCAAGCCCCACCCAGCCACCAGGCTATCAGCTGCAAGACTTTGCGTAGCCGTTGCGGTTCGTCTGGATGCACCTTGAGCTGCAGGGAAATGTCCCGGGGACGTAAGTCGGGAAATATTACCGTAATTGGTCATATTTGGTCCCTATATAAAGTCTATCAAGAATACCCAGGGGCACGTTTGAGGGTGTTTCTGAAGTTTATTGGTCCCTTTTAGGGAACCCCATACTTGGAAATCTACTTCACTTAGGGGAGTGTAGGGGCACTTTACTTTTCAGAAACGAGTCTGTAGTTTCTCTGGGAGTCTGGTACGGTTTTTTGGATTTCGATTCTTCTTTGGACCATGCACAAGGGTATTACATGGGAGGGCCTACGCAAGCCCTCAGCGCACCAACCGCCCACATAGGATATATTCATGCTGCATCAGAATTCTTGAGGTTGTCATAGAATTTTCCGAGTCCTGTCTTCCGCTGCGCATTCCTTGAATCCTGAATTGTTCGAATCCCACCGTTAACTCTGAAACTTGAAAACCAAACCTATTTATAGGTGTTCCACTACAAACTATTCGCCTGGTGAAGGCTTTCCCCCTAGATTCCAATACAGCGCCCCAAGCCCAAAAAACAACCCTACATCCCAAGCCCTAAACCTCGAAAGGGTACTTCTCAAAGTACAACGCCTTATAAAATCCCTATTTCGGATACCCAATCATTCCCTTTCCAGCCCACGACGGCCCTAAACCCTAAACCCTAAACCCTTAAAAGAAGCCAGCTCCCAAAACCCAAAGTTGATGGGTTTGGCGTTCAGGTGCCTAGGGTAAAAGGGCAGATATTCGGGGCCTTTTCTGACAGAAGTATATGGGGAACTGTCAAAATTATGGTCCCTTTTTGGGTCCCTAGTATAATACGGGGCCTAATACGGGGCCTAATTTAGGGGACCCAAAAAGGGACCATAATTTTGACAATCCCCCATATACTATGTAGGCATTTCATATGCAAGGTTGTCAAAACTGCGGCCCTCAATATGGGAGGCCATATCATAATCGGCATCCAAAAAGGACCTTAATCTGGACAGCCATCCAGACAGGTATATGGACCCTTCTGGCTTACTGTAAGCATCGAAAAAGTCCGAACAGAGATCACAGGCTCCAGGTATAAATGTAGTATGAATTTAGGCCCAAAGTACCCGCATGGCAGTCCTTTTGGGCTCCAAGCATCTACTTTTTTCACTATACCCTAAACCCCATTGTTAGCGTCCCTAAACCAGAAATCCTGTATATGAGCTATTGTCTAAACTCCTAGTATCCCCCTTATTAACGCCTACAGTATTCCCCTATATAATGCCCTATATAACCTCCTTTAGGGAGTTTAGACCCTGAACCTGAAACTCCCTCTATAACCCCCTCTAAGGAGTTTAGACCATAGCTCATATGACTACCTGGACCCTTGGGGAAGCTTCCGAGGACGAATCGTTGTTGGCATGCCTCGGCCTGATGCTCGAGGCAAATCTTTAGAAAACTCCTTGGGCGGCTTCCAGTAAGGTAGGGTTCAGGGTTCGGGGTTTACTGTAGGGTTCAGAGGGTAGGGTTCCAGGCTTAGCGTGTAGGGTCAACGGTTTGGGGTTCTCTGCTTGGGAGGTCAAGGGGAAGGGGACTGGCAAAGTACATTTATGGCCCCGACTAAACGTTGGTAACTCCGGCTATACTCTCTTTGTTAATCCCCTTACGCAGTGCTCCTGAACCTCCAAGCGCAAGTTGACTGCGGACATGTAAAGGAATCATCTCATTGGGCTTCGGATTTAGGATTTTGGTTCTACGGGGGTTTTGCTTCGGGGCGTTTTTCGGCGTTGCCTATTGTTTAGTGTAGAGTTGTCCGGTACAGATTGAGTTTCAAAAGGCTGCAAGCACAACCAGGTGCCAGGCATATCGGAATGCTAGGATTGCTGCCAGGGTTTAGTGTTTAGGGTAATAGAATACCTCTATACCCTGAACCGTTTTGTACACGATGTTCTCGATCGTCGCGGCGGACGCACCAGCACAAGGGTGGGGGGGGGTGTCCCAAAATTAGGGGTACCATTTTTGGGTCCCAATCAGTGGTACTATAGTACTCTGGAGTCCATATTGCGGTCCCCACAATGGCAGAAGCTACCAAGCCCTAGGGGTCCGAGTAGTTAATAATCATACATATCACGCAAACTACTTTATAGCCCCAAAACCAAGTACCTACTTATGA